CTTCCTGACGTCTTCACTCTTGACAATCATTTTCTTGCCGTAGCCACGGGTCTTCCTCGGCTATCACATCCCGGCATATCTGCAGCGCATACTGCCCGTGACCGGCTGTTGGAAGTTCTGACGGAATTTCATAAAGCATTCTTGGCGTGGGACGATGGCCTGGACCCTGGCGCCGATTTCAGAGACCTGGATGATATCTCAGAGCCTCTAAGGGAACGGATACGGAAGTGCAAAAGCCTAGGGCTTTCTGCCAGATCAAGCGCTCCTGCACATCTGTCTCTGCTCTGGGCCATGAACTCAAACTCTCCCAACGTGGTCTTCTGGCATCTCCTTCGCATATATGCCGACAGTGCTCTCCTGGCTAAGATTCGTCAAGAAATCGCTCCATTCATCAAGATTACCCGACCGAGCAGGGAAGAAACTGGCCTTCCATTCGACGAGCCTCCTCGCATGTCTATCGATACAGAAGGCCTCATCAAATCATGCCTTCTCCTGAAGGCTAGCTTTTATGAGACTTTGCGCCTGGACTCTGCAGCTTTATCTTTTCGAAATGTCACATCAGACTTCACTGTAACCGAATCCGAAGAAGATGCAACTCTGGATGGGTTATCGCAGCCTCGTTCGTACAAATTCAAGAAGGGTGATGCTATTGTCATCCCTCACGCCGTCATCCACAATGATCACCGATATTTCTCTAATCCTAACCAGTTTGATCCACTGAGGTTTGTCACGACCGACCCAGACACCGGCGAGAAGAAAGCAAGTATGGACGTCATCAAACCGTTTGGCGGGGGTGTGTCGGGGTGTAAAGGTCGCGCTTTTGCAGAACGAAAACTTCTGGCTTTCTCTGCCGCGATCATCGCCTTGTGGGACGTTGAACCCGCCCAGGGCAACGATTTTGCCATACCAGAGCATAGACCATCCGCTGCAGCTTTCTTGCCGAAGACTGATATCAGGGTACGAATGCGGCAACGCATCTAATCACAAGGGACTGAGTTCACATTTGTCCTTGCATATACACGGTGTTTAATATATGGTTGTTTGTATATACCAAGATTCGAGAAGTTATTCATGATATGCTATCGACCTTAACCCGTTGGGACTGCTTGCAAAATCGTAGCAATAAGGTCGAGATTCTTTCCCGGAGGAGCTGCAAGCGGGCATCCAAGTAGAAAAACAGGCAGGTGAACCAGTGTCAGGAAGTCTCGGTCCGAGTTCTTTGCGATCGCTGGGTCTCAAATCCCATGATTTTGTGGAGGACCATGGTTTTCGTATGGAGTCAATACTAGACGAGCTACGATGTATGAATGGCTTGTCGAACTGAATGATACATGATCCAGAGGGGTAGCCCTAAAAGCGTGCCCTAAGCCCTGATTATAGGACAGATAAGGCAAAAGTACTTGGGACGATAGACGCGTCGAACGCGTGCCCCGAAAGCACGTCCCCCGGTACTCCGTGGTTTCGCCGCGGCTGCATGGACATACGCGATCACAGGCTGCAAACGACAACTGATTGAGCTCAGTACATTGAAAGGAGCTATACTGACTTGGTTCTCTTTAATTCTTCATTTCCTTTTATCGGGTATCCGGCGACTCTGCCAAAGACAAAGCCCGGGGCCACATCATCATGTCCTCTGAAGCGATGCGTCCTAGGGGCAGACCCGCCCGTGAGTCTCGCAACTGATCACCACACCTCACTTGCTGCTCTTGTCTACCTGAATTGAAGGCTGACGCGCATCAAACAACGCAGATACCCCGGGCACTACGGTACTCGCATATACGCCTGATGGCCAGCGTGTGATTACTGGCGGTTCGAACTCCGCAATTCGTATCTACACCGTGGGACAAGATGGCGAGCCGAAGACGGTGGACGAGGGCGTCGACGGGCATCTGGGTATCGGTGCTACCGTATGCTTTCCTCTTCGAATTGCCTGGTCGAAGACTAATTAAGTGCAGAATGAATCTTTCATTATGGGCGCAGAAGACGGCACAGTTTGGCAATACGAGATTCAGTCAGGCAAGATGGTGAAGCTATTGGTACGATGCATGCTTCCAGTACGGGATATTGCAATCTCAAGAGATGGCGAGTGGGCCGCGGTAGCGAGCGAGTAAGTCAGATTTGTACTCCCTAAATGCGTGGTATAGTGGGCTGGCTAACATTTTTGCCTCTTAGTGAGCTTACAGTGAAGATCGTCAATATTGAGGACATGACTAAAGTCAAATATCTACGGGAACAGTCGAAAGGCGTCAAGCACGTCACTTTCGACCCGAGTGGCCGATACGTTACGGTCTCCTGTACGGATGGTTTCCTTTACATCTACTCGACACTTTCGGACGAACCCGAATTGGTGCAGAAGCTGGACGGGGTGATTAGGCGACTTGAGCCGGAAGTTGAGGCCACATCCCGGATTGTCTGGCATCCTGACGGAACGGCGTTTGCTTCCGCCGAAGCGACCCGGGATATTGCGATCTTTTCCACGGGCGAGTGGAAGAAGGAGAAGGTGTTTGCTGGCGGTCATAATGGACAGATTACGGCGCTCGCTTGGTCACCTAACGGAGCGCTTCTTGCGACTGCTGGCGCGGATGGTCAGATCCTGCTATGGGAGACAAGGACGCAGAAGGTATTACAACGCTACGATTTTGCGAACGTGATAAACCTTGCCTGGCATCCAACGAAAAACTCTGTCTCTTTCACAACGTCTGACGGAGAATTGTTTATCTACGATGATTTCGTTTCCAAGGAGCATCAGCCACTGCTTGAGAAGCCACTACAGGCCGCACCTATCTTCTCTGGGGCCTTGACAGAAATCTCTGACAATGTAAGACGGCCATTGGCGAACCGCCCGAAGGAGACCATCGAACGGAGGCAAAGAGCTGGGAGCCTTGACTCTCTCGATGAGATCCTCAATGGCGATGTCGGCATGGATGATTTCGTCGAGGATGATGACGGGGCTGGCTATGCGGAGGACATCAATGGGTTCGGCAAGCGAGTTGGGTCACACACGGATGAGATCGATGGCCATACCGACAAGAGAGTTTTGACGGCCTTTGCCAAGCCAAAGATTCACCCTCCTCTCCAACCAGGAAGCACACCCTGGCGTGGCAACAGACGCTACCTCTGTATGTGCTCTGGATTTGATCATAGAATATCCCTTGTGATCGAACGCTAACTGTTGAAGGTTTGAACCTGACCGGTTGTGTCTGGACGGTTGACCAAGAAACCCATAACACCATAACAGTGGAATTTTACGATCGCGAGCTTCACCGTGATTTCCACTTCACGGATCCATACCTTTACGATCGGGCTTGTCTGAGTAGGTTGAGAGCAAACACACATGGGTCGAGTCCTGGACTAACAAGACCTAGATGACAATGGAACTTTGTTCTCCAATAACCCCACGGATGGCAGTCCAGCGACGATCTTCTATCGCCCTCACGAGACATGGACAACCCGGGCAGATTGGCGGACGCAGCTTCCAAAGGGCGAATTCATCCGGGGTAAGGAACTCGAGAATCTGGTTTGCAGGCTTTGCTAACTCACCTCGACAGCGCTGGCGCTCAGTGAATCCTACATTGTTGCTGTAACGACCAAAGACTACGTTCGTGTCTACACATTATTCGGCACCCCGTTCAAAGTGTACCGGCAGAAGAGCCCTGCCGTCACTTGTGCTGCATGGCGAGACTATATCATGACTGTGGGCAACGGTCCACTGAGCAGCGATGGCCGAACAGCAACACTACGATACTCGGTAGAGAACGTCAAGCGGGACGAGATTTGTCAAAACGAGGATGTTGTCGCCCTGCCTGAAGATACCGAGCTGCAAAGTGTCTTCTTTTCTGATAATGGGGTTGGTTGCTCCAGCCTGCCATGCCGGACTCACATACTGACTTGGAGCTACAGGACCCATGCATTTATGACTCCGAAGGCGTGTTGCTTGTCCTTCAGCATTGGCGCAACAATGGCCAGGCTCGGTGGGTACCGCTGCTAGACACGAAGCAGCTAGAGCGATTAGCTAGCGGACGGAAAGAGGAGACCTACTGGCCCGTTGCTGTGGCTCAGGACAAGTTCCACTGCATCATTCTCAAGGGAGGTGATAAGTATCCGTACTTCCCTCGGCCGCTGTTGAGCGAATTCGACTTCCGCATCCCGATTTCCGACACACCGGGCAAGGGAGCCGAAGACGACGAGGACAGTGGCTCGATTCGACATGATGGAGCTCGGTTTGAAGAAGCTTTTGTCCGAGGAAACATCTTGCTTTCACTCTTTGAAGACCTGGTGTCTACCACTAACGCTACGGCAAGTCAGCGCGCCGAGCTGGCTCGGAAGGAAGTTGAGGTGGATAAGATATTGCTGCAACTTCTAGCAGTGGAGTGCCGAGAGGGCGAGGAGCGAGGTATGAAGGCGTTGGAACTGGTACAGATGATGAGAGACCGCAACGGCAAGATGGTGGAGGCGGCCGTCAAGGTGGCTGAACGGTATGGCCGAGGCGTCCTGCAAGACAAGATCCGAGAACTGGCCGAAAGGCGATATCTTGGGGAGGATGACGAGAGAATGTAAAGGGAGACATGGTCTGTTTCAAGGGTATGACCACACCATAATCATTATGATAGATACCACCAATGCATGCGCACATATTTTAGCCTTCATACCTTCCTGCCTTCCTGCCTTGTGGCCTCAGGCCACAATCCTGATCGATTGACGGGCCGACGTCATAGCCGAAGCACCAATCACAGCTATTTCTGGCCGAATCATCTCCATCTTCGACGGGACTCTTTCTTCACCTTTCCATGTTGCCAGCCAAATTAACCATCTTGGTCATATCTATCTGATGACTTGACTTTGCTTGGCAATGCATGTGATGATCTTACGACAGAGGCTTCCTGGATGAGAGTCCTGTCCACCTCTTCTAAGACTCCGTGATGCCGACGCTTACTGGCCGTGCGCTTCCTTGCGCGCGAAGCCGACGAGGAACACATTTCATCAATTGTTCGAGCTCCATTCCTAGTCCTCGTGTTTCTCCTCCACATCAGTTCTATCTTTCTTCAACTCCACGGCTCTCAGCTCAGCATGAGGTTCTTCGTGGACCCTCGTTGACGTCTGCGTCGCAACCCCAATTCTCGCAAACTGGATTCCAATCGTCCGCTTTTGACGGACTCGAGCGGCCGCGGGGGGATCATGAACAACCGGACGAGCGCATTCTCAAGCTCGGGAAAAGTAAGCTTCGTGAAGAGATCTAGTACTGGAATACCAGAAAAAATACGTACTGATTCATGAACGTCCGGCCAGCGCTTCGAATCCTCTCACCTTTCCTCCCAAACATCCTCACCAATCCTCTGCCACCTAAGATACTCTCCCCGAGCATAACCTTGCATCTCTTTCCGTCGACGCACCCTCATCTCCCCACTGTTAAAGGGCGAACCCTCTACCGAGCCGCACTGTGGACTGTGCCCGTTGCCTGGAGCAGCCTGCCCCTCCTCGGCAACGTCAAACTCAAGATCATTAGCGAGCGCATCGTCCGCGCCGGCACGGTGCTGGACCCGGCCCGCTATGCCAGCGGGGAGCAACCAGACGACAGCGACGAGCGCCTAGTCGTGCGGTGGCGGACCGAACCGCGCAGCGAAAATCATCATCACGGGCAGCAACAGCAACCCTCCTTCACCTCCAACCCGCGTTCCACCACCACCACCGCCTCCTCCTCCGCTTCCTCGTCGCCGGCCTCGGGGTCCAGCCCTTCGCAAACCGGAACCAACAAGGGCCTCAGCGTGCTGCTGGGCGGGGATGCGCCGATCTTCAAACTCTCCAAGGAGGAACAGTTCACGGGGCTGTTCATCTTCTCGTTCGACGAAGAGGGTCGCATTGCGTCGCATACGATTGAACACGCCGATGATGCATGTGGATGGGAACGGACCCCGAAATTCGTCACGTTGGCCGACTGGTTGATTGGGAAGGCCAGGGAGTCGCTGGACCCCTCGCCGGCGGAGCCGGGCCTGGCCTTCCAGGACTACCACTCGACTCCAAGGGACAGCTTCTTCGCGCGCGCGAGGGGCTTCCATGGGTGTGGGAAGCGGTATCAATTAGGCGGGCATGCTTGATTGTTTACTGGAGCTGGTTGTAACGTTTGCTGCTGTTATGGCTTGGCAATTGCTACGGCGCGTTTATTTCAGGAGGATTAGCTCCCGTGATGTTTGCGAAGACGGGAGTTAGCCGGGTGCGCTTCTTTCTACCTTCTTCGTAAAGAAGAAAGCCTCCCCCCTCCGCGGACCTGATGGACATCTGGACGGCTGTTATCTGAGCTTATCCGGGTTCGATGTTTGACCTATCTCATCTCCCATTTACTGTACAAGTCTTCGAACATGTAAATTATGCCACATAGGTAATGAATAATGACTCAAGTTTGGTGTATCAGCAAGCAACTCGGCGCTATCCAGCCGAGTGGGAAGCACTGGGCCAGCCAGTAATGATGCAATATGTCCATATAAATCTATGCAACCTCACATCAGACATGACGACAGCAGCTATGCAGGAACCCACGAATGATGCATGGAGTGACGAATCGTCTCCGTCCATGGAGCCTGAAGCAGCGTCGCATTTCAATAGGAAACAGGTATGGGATCTAATTCTTCTTCTTGGACTCCTTCTGTCCACCAACGACCGGCTCCCTCAGCAAAACAAACACCCCTCCACAGACCACCAACATGGCACATCCGCCAACCGTGTAGGCCACCTCCCGGCCCATCCACCAGAACAAGGAACAGAACAACAGCGGTCCGGCCGCGCGTCCAACCTGTCCCCAACTCCGCAACTTCCCCAACACGGCACCACGATTCTCCTCTTGGGCCTCGAAGCTCCCCAAGCTGTTTAGCCCGGTGACGACCGTCGCACTAGTAATAGCCAATAGCCCGCCCGCCGCGTAGAGGCCTCCCAGCGAGGAGACGCGCGCAAGCATAAAGAAAGAGATCGCGCATGCGATGACGCCGATACGCACGGTTTTGAGCGGGGGCAGGCGGCGCACCACGGTGCCCTGGAGGAGGGAGGCAATCAGACCCATCATGGAGAGCAGACGGCCGTTGAGGGCGGAGGGACTGGATTTACTTCCCGCGTAGAAAGTGGCAGTCAGGAAGGGGAGGGAGAATTCGAGGCCCGAGAAAGGGAGGAGGAATAGCAAATGGATCAGATTGAGGAGCGCGGGGTTGTTTGTGTGTTCCTTAGGCTCCGCGGAATGGGCAGGCCCGGTGGGTGGTTGGGCTTCGTCATTGTTGTTGTTCTTGTTGTTCTTGGTGTTGTTCGTGTTGAGGGCATGAACCAGCTTGGTAAAACGGGGATGGGTCTCCGGGAGACAGAAGTACAGATAGGCGGTTTCAACGACGATCAAGAGAAGCGAAACGCCCGCGGCCGTCGCAAAGGGATTGGCGGCAACGGTGGTGATGTTGGAGAGGGCTGCGCCGAGCGCGGGCCCGAAAGTAAAGGCGATACTGAAACAGACGCCAACAAGGGCCATGGTTGAGCCACGCTGGCTGGGGTCGCTGATATCAGTGGCAATAGCATTTGCGAGCTGCACGTTGCCCTCACTGAGGCCACCGACAATGCGACTAGCGAGGAAAGTTCGGAAGTCTGTCGCGGTAACCCAGAGAGCTACGCTAAGGGTGTTACCGACCATAGAGCAGAGGAGGGCGGTCTTGCGGCCGTGTTTATCTGACAGACGGCCAATGAATGGCGCTGCAAGTGCCTGCAAGAAAGAAAACAGCGAGCCAAGTGCGCCGCCCAGAAGAACTATGTCATAGCGTGAATCGATGGGTTTCGCAAATGAGTTCTTATAGGCGTTCAAATAGTGGAACAAGCGGTTGAGGAGCGAGTTGGGAGACGGATCTTGATTGCGGTAAAAAGTAAGTAGGGAAGGGAAGAGTGGTAGAATGAAAGTAAAGGATATCTAGTGTAGAAGTGTCAGTGTTTGTCTTGCTTTAGCTGGTAACTGGGACGCATACCAAATCCAAGAGTAGCGAGGTCATCAAGACCTTGAGGATCTTCTTCCGCTGCTCCGCGGGTAACGCCATGACGGTCAATTGAGAAAGCTTTCGGGCAGAAAGGACGAAAAAAAAAACGAATAAGAGAATAAGAGAACAAGGAGTTCGACTAGCAACACTAGAAGAAAAAGAACGGAAGAGAAAGAAAGAGTGCAGGTGACTCTGAAGTCGAAGGGTTGTCTGATGCAAAAGAAGATGGAAGGAGAGTCAAGATGGCCTCTCCCCCCGTTATGTCATAGCCCTATACCCTACCCGCGGCATTGCCTCTTTCAGACAGCTCCGTCGGAGCTCTTACACTTCTTATCATCTTGCTTTCTCTACACGTAAAATGAACCTAGAACCTTAGGAGAGGAAAACATCTGCTTTCATCATCTACCTGTCACATCGTTGAAAGCTTCTGATCATGCTCCGCCCTTGGCTGTCAACAGCCAAGGTATTCTCACCCCTCTCCACCGCAACCCGTCCAAACCTCCATCTCCATATGTCAACATGATGATCGGAAATAGAATACATGTGAAGTAGAATGTAGCGGCAGTGCAGAAAGCACCATCGCCACCTGCAGAAAGAAAAGGCCACATCGGAGCGGAATCCACAGCCGAGATAGAAGGAAAATCAAAGGGGAGAAAATTGCAGAAATCAATATGCACGCTCAATAACTGCAAACATATACAACAGGAGCTTTTGCGGAAAAGATCCAAAAGAAAAGCAGAATAAAGAGAACGGCGGAGTAGTGACACCCTGCTATTATCTTCACTCTAAAGAAATCTTGTTGTAAATCATTTCAAGAGTCATTGCGTTCGTGAACCATGACACTCCCGTTACCCATTGAGTTTATTAGTATTTCAGAGAGATTAGAGAAAAGGGCACCGGGCTGAGGCAAGAGAAGACTTGAGAAAGCGAGGTCAGAGAGGCTCGATGAAGGGTCAGGCAGATTGATGCTGGCGTCGGAGTCAAATCGACGGAAAGCAGATGCCTCTCGCAGAGACGCACGTTGCTTTAATCAGACGGCAGCTTATCAACTCCCTATACGTGGCTTCTACTGGCTGGGAGCAGGGGCCGCGGAGGAGCCATTGGCACCACCGCGTCCGCGACCTCCACGGCCGCCACGACCGCCACGGCCCCGGAACCCACGGCCCCGGCCACCTCGGCCTCTACCACGGCTAGGCTGGCGCTGATGGTGCGAGACGGCTTCGAAGCCGTCCTGGGGCTTGGGAACAGTAACATCCTCGGTGCTGGGCGCAGTAGTCTCAGTCACAGCTGTGTCGGCTTTCACCTCGGCCTCAGCAGCGGCAGGAGTAGCTTCAAGTCCAGTCTCGGTTTCAGCAGGGTCCCGTGGCACCTCGACCCATTCTTCAGCGGTAGGCGAAGTTTCCACAGCTCCAGTCGCATTGGTATGCCAGCTAGCCTCAGCCACTTGATTGGCGCCGTCGGTAGTCAGGGTCTGAGCAGGAGGGGCAACCTGTTCGGTTTGCTCTTCCGCGGCAGGCTCAGTCGCAGCGGCAGCACTGGAGTCGTAGGATGAGTCTTGCAACTCAGTGTAGCCTGCATTGGCCACAGTAGGGTCCGACTCAGGAGCCGCCTCGGTAGTTGCAGGTTCGGAAGCAGGAGCAAGATCAGTAGCGATCTGCTTCACCTTACCATCTTATGACCCGAGGCAATTAGCAGCGATTACTTGAGTCACAAAAGCATCAGTACTCACAGGTGATCTCCAGCGCGGTTCCATCAACACCAACGACCTTGTCATCCGCGCCATCGATGATCTTGAGCATCGAAGACACAGCATCCTGGGTTCCTCCGTAAATCTGGTATAGAACGCCCTCGAATGCACGGCTCTCGTTCGAAGATTCGTCTCCGGAACGTCTCATAGTGGCCGCGGCGCAGAGGAACTTGCTGAGGCTTAATAGCTGTTGGCTGAAATCCTTCTTGCTGGCTTCAGCGGCATCCGCATCAGCCTGCTCCCGCAGAGCTGCGAGCTGCTCCTCGTGAGCTTGCTCTAGCTCCGCCTTCTGGGTAGCCAAGCGTTCCTCGTAATAGGCAGCGAATTCCTTGAGGTGGGAAATCTGCTCCTCAATCTGGGCAACGGTGGCCTGTAGAGAGGGCTTCTTCAGGGCCTGTGCCTTCTGGTCGGCATTGATCTTCTTCTCAGCAACAAGCTCATCCAAGGATTTGCCGGGATTCTCTGCAATGATGGTGTCGACTTTGGCGGTCGCATTCTGTAGGGCGAGGCCAGTGTAAGCGGTGAGTGGGATGAAAGCTCTACGCAAGGGCACTAACCAGCTTCTTGACAGCATTGCGCAAGCTTCTGTTGCAGTGAATCTAGTAAGCGATTTGACTCCAAGGCTCCATGATAGGGCATTGCGAATGCGCGGAGTGCTTGTCGCTGAAGACGCACCTCTGCAATTCCTTGAAGTGTTGGTTGTCTAGATTGTCCAAGCCGCTCGTGTCAGGCTTCGAGACAATAGAAGGACTAGAAGCATGATTCGACTTTGCTTTTTTGGAAGAAGTTTCGGAGTATTGAGCAGGGCTGGAGTTGACAGAAGCGGCAGCCATGTTGCTGGTTTGGTGTGATGATGACTCGGAGGAAGTGGTCTAGCGCCTGAGCAGACGATGTAGAATAAAAGCTATGCGAAGAGTAGAAAGAACAGCGGAAAGTCTTATACAGTAGCGCAAAGATATATGCGCACAATCGAGGACAGGAGGAGGGATTTGTTGAGGTGGAAGTGAGGCGAAGGCGGAAACAGTTGAAGCAGAAAGGAAGACTGAGATGGGAATGGGGATTGAATTGGGAAAAGCAGCTGGCAGATGCGGGTGGAACTCTTCCGAACCGCCCTCGTCGCGTGCTGCTGCAGCTCCAGTCACTGGTTCAGCCCCAACACGTCTTGCGACCCAAACAACCATTGCAACAGCCGGCACCCTATGCTGCATATGCGAAGAATCTTACACGATGGAGGCGCGTACTCTACCTATGAGAAATTATTCAGATCTACTCCATTTTTGTCTTATACAGTACAGAGGTCTTCCTGATGTAGAACAATCTATGCATTGGGTATCAACGGAGTGACTCCTGAATAACGCCTATATAACCCCGATTCGCCTGAAGTTTGTGAGCCCATTTCTCTTTCCATAACAATAAAATTCACTAGAGGCATGGACGAGCAGTCACGGTCCCAAGAGAGTGGATCGTGAATCTAGACCAAGCTCAACAACCACCCGCGTAGCACAAACCCCACAGAGCTGGCTGATCAGAGATATGCTCCGGTCGCGCGCTGGCAATGATGCGATTTATATTCAAGGCAACTTTGCCTGCCATCAATCTAGCCCTTGAACTTCCGTAGCGTTTTCTGTAGGTTCAACAGACAAGATGTCAGCCTCGACGGGAATCATGCATACTTGCATCGATGCACCAGGCAAACATACCTCGGTCACTTTGCGCACTGAATTTGACGATATGTTCTTCTCCCCCATCTTCCGCGACTGAATCGATGATTCCCGCATCAATCTGCATAGACGTCCAGGTTTCAGCTGTGAACAAATGCCTTCAGTCCCCCTCGGCATGCGCCATGTTTTGAGAATCATGTAGTGGGATTATTAGATCAAAGTCGACTCACTCTTGCATGAACAACATGTAATCCAGGAAGATCTGAAAGGTGAAAATAGCCATTAGAGTCTATGCAGGAAATTGCAATAAGGGGGACGGAATCAGGAGACCAACCAAGATATCAGCGTTCTTGCTCACGTTACGGTTCGAATGCGCTTTAACGACACGCTTCACCGTGGCGCGAGGATAAAGCTTCTGCGTTGCTGGCATTGTAGGCGAATGAGCCAGGCAATAGGGTCGGGAGTTGTTGGAAGCTTGGAGGAAGGGAAGATCAGTAGCAATGACGCGAGTGGATCAGTGCCGATAAAGAATCAACAGCCGCTTGACGCCGGCGAGCTTCCGGGACGATAAGCATGACAAGCTAAGGCGGACGAGAATAATTGTTTACCGCTACGAGACAACTAGGGTACTCGAACCGGGGCAGTCTCTATGTAGCTTACAGTACGTCTGTTCGTACATGACAATACAGTCCCGTCTTACTGGAGCATGTAATTGAGCGCGACTACTGTCTAGAAACAGCAACTGCTAGTGTGACCGTCTCTTTGCTGCTGTTCTCCCCCTTGCTTCTAGAGGAAATGCGGGTGAGGTTTGCTGTAGGAAAACATCTATACTATTGTATGTTCAACTCAATTGATAGATATACAGTCCACAAAATAATGGCAGGGTCATCATCATCATCGTCGTCACCATTGACGGACTTGGCGAAGATATTTCCATGCATACAAGGCCGCTGTGGAGCCCAAGGCTATCCTCCATGCTACGAAAATGTAAAGGGCTAGACGGAGCCGATCATAATAGCCTCGAAGCATGATTTCCAGCGCATATGTGCTCCCATTAAGACCTTTGTCGGAAGGCCCGTAGTATTGACCCACACCAAGTCCTTCGATTCCGATATTGTTCTGACTGCTACTGCCATTGCAATCAATCTCTTTTACTGGCACAGCCGCTGTTTGAGCATCCATGGCAGTGTTGTTCGGTCGAGCTCCGCTCTCAACCAAGCGCCTGTTGCGTTTTCGCAGACGATATGTGAGCATGTTGATCAGCAGCCGTAGATCGGGTGCTGTGAAGTTGGGGTAGTGCCAAAGCTTGACAGCTGTGTGTGGAGGAAGCAGATCCAAGAAGTCTGCCATAATCCCTAGCGTCAATCCCCAGAGGAGCAAGGGACGACTTATTCCAATATCTTGATCAGCAGGGCTACTTCTACCCCATGGGATCAACCGCCGAAACAGCGACTGTCTTTGCTCATCTCTGGGGGTGAGGCCGGGGGTTGTGTTGCTTTGAAGGCTCTCTGTTGGGGCCAGTCGGATTGCGGGAAACTGCATGTAGCCCATCAAGGACCGAGACGCAACCCGGGCCATGATGCCTCCCATGTTTGCGAGGCGTTGAGTCATGTCCACATGCTCTACAGTGCGCAGAGAAGACGACAAAAGCGCTTTTAGCGGCACCCAATGGGTCGAGGCCACTTCGGTGGGTTGTAGCTTCAGCGTTGGTGAGTCACTGCATGTTAACAAGAAGACGTAGGGGCATAGGACCATCAGCCTGCAATTGACATGATCAGTATCAGGCACACTCGAGCTATGATATCGGACGAAGTACATACGGTATCGTGCCCAGGCTCGTCGTTACAACTCTTTCGGGCAGGTTGCCGATGTACACACAATCCTCCGTGGTCAGATCCAGTCCAATCTCCTCTGAGGCTTCCCGAATCGCCGCTGCTTTATCATCTGCATCTTCGGGGTCCCGCTTGCCTCCCGGGAGAGCAACATGACCAGTCCATCTGTCTCCCACGCGTGAGGCTCGCTTGATAAATAGCGCCTCTGGTTGACCATGGTGAACCCACGATTGGGAGAAGAATGCGTCCAGTCGTTGCTGGACAGACGCTGAATTGTCCGTCTCTCCCGAAGAGGTAGGGGTAGACTCTGGCCAGTGTTCATATGTAGGTCGGACTCGCAGGATAAGGGCAACCGAGGCACGTTTCTTGCATTTCGGAGGGTTGGGGACATGAGGGTACGGGCGTTGATGGAGGCCGGACAACACATCGTGAAGCGATTGCGTCAAGGGTACGGAGTCCTGTAACGATGGGGGACTGGCTGAATCCATTGGAATAGGAGATTTTCGGTCTAGAAGAATATAGAAGCGATGTAGAGTTACAGCATAGCCTAGTATAGTTATATATACACGACAAAGGAAGGATGCTGGCTGGAAGGTATTCAGAAAAAGAGAAAGAGAGAGTTTCTTATCGGTCGGAACATATCGTGGAACGGATCTTGGTGCTTCGTAAGTTACCTCGGAGGTTGTTTGTCAGTGGTAGATAATACATTACAAAACTAGGTGGAAGTACAGCATATCTGTAACATTATGGTACTGTATTCCAGTGACGGACGGGGACTGACCAAAGTGATACCTGGTACCTAACTACCTAGTATACGTAGCTCCAAAGCCACTTGACCAATGGTCAGCTGAATTACTACGGAGGGGGGCGGGCTAGACCCTTCCGGGGAGGCAGAGAGGCAGCACGTGCATCAGCATGGCGATGGGATGCAACGAGAGACCAAACGAGACTATATTAGAACACTCTCTATTTTCCGCCTGGACTTGATGGCGACTTCTTAGCGGCTTCCCTTCTTTCCTTACGTCTGTCCCGTCTTAAGTCTGAAAATTTCCCTTCTCCATTGTCATGAGCTGATTCCCATTGACGGTCTCTTCTTCTCGACCCGCATTTGCCCTTCTCCCTTATAAGAAGAGCCTCTCCCCTTCCCGAGTCCCTGTGCAACTCTCTCTCTCGGCCTCTCCTCTTGCTTTTCCTCCGTTACACAATCGTCGTTCCTAACCACGGCCAAGTTTCGCCTCATTCTGCTCGACCATGCGCTTTGGCAAAACCCTTCGGAAGTCGATCTATCCGCCATGGAGTGGGAAATATATTGATTATCACAAGCTCAAAGTCCTTCTGAGGGAGGATGATGTCATCGGAAACGATAGCGATTCCGATAATGGCCAATGGACCGAACAAGATGAGGAAGCATTTGTCCAGGAGCTACTTAACGTCCAACTGGACAAAGTCGATGCCTTCCAGGTCGAAACCTTGAAGCAGCTGCGGGAACGAACTGCTGATTGCGAATCCAAGCTGCGAGAGTTGACTGATGCAGCCCAGGATGAGGCTGCCACGGAAATGGACGACGCGGAAAAGAAGCGCATTGCGTCAGGCGTTCTACAGGAGCTAGACAGCATCACTCGAGAGGTCAGCGAGCTGGAGAAATACAGTCGAATTAACTTCACCGGTTTCCTCAAGGCGGCTAAGAAGCATGACCGCAAGCGTGGAGCACGGTATCGTGTGAAGCCCTTGTTGCAAGTGCGCTTGTCGCAACTCCCATTCAACTCCGAGGACTACTCTCCTCTAGTTCGCAGACTGTCTGTTATGTACTCCTTTGCCCGTGAAATTCTGAGCAAGGGTTTGGTTGAAGCCAAAGATCCAGCTGAACCTCGCTTTGGTCAAGACATGTATTCCTCCTTCAAGTTCTGGATTCATCCCAACAACGTCCTCGAGGCCAAGACCTACATTCTACGGCAGCTTCCCGTTCTTATCTATAATCCTGGAACTTCCAAGGACCTCGATATCCTTCCTGACGACCCTACAATCACCTCTCTTTACTTTGACAACCGACAGTTCGACCTTTACAACCAAAAGGTCGCTCGCGCCGCCGAAGCCGGGTCTCTACGACTGCGATGGACCGGAAACCTGCAGGACAAGCCAGCCATTTTTTTGGAGAAAAAGATAGTGTCGGACGACAATCGCAGCCGAGAAGTAAAGATTCAGCTCAAACAAAAACACGTGAAGGAATTCTTGGACGGAGAGTACCACTTTGACAAAAAGCTTCAGCGGATGGAGACCATGGGCAACGGTGAATCGGAACAAGCAGAGTCCTTCAAGCAGGATATTGAGGAACTGCAGTCATTCATCAAGGAATACAACCTGCAGCCGATGCTTCGGGCTAATTATACCCGTACGGCGTTCCAAATCCCCGGAGATGATCGGATCCGAATCTCGCTCGATACCAATCTGGCTCTAATCAGGGAAGACTCTCTGGATGAAGGTCGTCCCTGCCGTGAGCCCGATCAATGGCATCGCACAGACATTGATGATGCAGGAATGGAGTACCCGTTCAGCAGCATCCGGACGGGCGAAATCGTTCGCTTCCCTTACGCACTCCTGGAAATCAAACTCAAGGGCACTGCAGCGCACAGTGCCGAATGGATCAAGGATCTCATGGTCTCCCACCTTGTAAAGGAGGCGCCACGGTTCTCGAAATTCGTCCATGGTGTGGCGCAGCTCTTCGAGGACTACGTCAACAGCTTTCCGTTCTGGCTCGGTGAGATGGAGAATGACATTCGAAAAGACCCAGAAACCGCTTTCCACGAAGAACAGGAGCGGCGAGCGCAGCGAGCAGAAGACGATATTGCAGTTGGAAGTTTCCTCGGCAACAAGGGTTCATTGACAGTGAGGCCTCTGGTGGGATCACCCGTACAGATGTTCACCGACATATCCTCTTCCCCTCGCCGTCGACAGTCTTCGCAGATGCTACCGCCCTCGCAGCGGCCTTCTGCTCCAGAAATAGCCCGCCTACCTGAGCACCCGGAGCCGCAAGACCAACAAGTCCAGCGCGAGGACCAGCAGCCGGAACATCCCATGAATCTGAAACGCCTGGCCTCTCTCTTCCCGACCTTCTCCGCCGCGCGGAACAACCGTGGTCCCCGAAACTCGGTCGTGCTGCCTCCCGGCGTTCGGGAACCAGGCACGTGGATCAAGGACTCTGGACCTGTCCGTGTCGAGACCAAGGTCTGGCTCGCCAACCAACGTACCTTCATCAAGTGGCTCCACATCAGCATTCTTCTGTCATCGCTGTCGCTGGGCCTTTACAACGCAACTGGGAAACACAATGATATCGCCCGTGCGTTGTCAATCGTCTACACGGCCTTTGCGATTTTTGCCGCCGTCTGGGGGTGGTACATGCACGAGAAGCGGGCCAAACTCATCCGACAACGGAGTGGACGGGATTTGGACAACACATTTGGACCGATTGTTGTTTGTATTGGGTTGGCGGTTGCTCTGGTGTTGAACTTCGCCTTCAAGGTAGGCGCAGGTCGCTTGGTGTGGACAAGGGGTTCATCCGCTAATCTACTATATAGTACAACTCCACCCTCGAGAAGATCCGTGACCGCCAACCTCCAGCCGGTCTTCCCCCTTCTGCCAACCTTACCGGGTCCATCAACAAGCCGAGCGTGTGGCAGCTGGTCAATCAAGGTGGTCAAGCCTTGTAACGAGGCTCTCCACTCTCGACTGCTTGTATATGGTCGCGTTTGCAGGGGATCCCAAGCCCCTGTTTGGAGTAGAGGCAAACGAGTGTCTGGACATGTCAGCCTTTGATGATGTATTCGTAGAATATCTTCGGAAATGTGAAAATAGCGTTGTTCTGGGAGTTACCCAGGAACTGGAACATGGGAAAAGAGGTCCGGTCAGAATGAATGATGTTTTCGCCTGAGGACACAAGTATCTGAACTCCGACGCATGTCCACGCAAGAGATGACTCTGTGAACGCAAACTGTTCGCCTGGCTTCCCCAGGGAGGGCATCATCAGATGCTCGTAGCGCCCCCTTAGTCAATTTCGCGGCTGGTTGGTATATAACCTCATACAAAGCTATACCCATCAACGCCAAGCAGTAGAATCGCTCGCCTTTTTCATTGCCGTCTTAGAATGTGGAAACCAATGAAAACAAACTCTACCGCTAAGCTGCAACTCATCATTCATAATTAACGGGCAATCACATATATCGGCTCGTGGTAGACCCCCGCGACAGCAACGGGGCCTGCTCGGCATCCGAGTCATTGGGTGTGCGGCGATCCCCCGGAGGCGTGGAGGGCGAGGCAGGGAGCCGTCGTCCCTTCGAGGCCGCCGCATACAGCACACTCGGGCCCAAGCCTTCGAAGCTCTCTCTTTTTTGCAGCAATCTATTGTGTTAGCCTTTCGTCATTGAATCTATCGTCTTATCTAAGGAAACCGGCATTTAGGGAAGGGGGAACGCACCGATCAAAGAACCCCACAAACAGCCACAAATACACCGTGCCCAGGAACGCAATCACCCACTCCAGGATCCCGGCGGCCCGGTAATCGCTCACATTCTCGGGGACGGTGAGTGAGATAAAAGCGATGCCGAGGAAGAGCTTCACCAGAATCAACGCGGTGGAGAGGGAGGCACTGCAATGCAAGACGTCTGGGTTTAGCCATTATGCGCCTCTGCTGGCTGTCAAGCGAGGCCCAGAAGACATAATCCATAATGTCACCCTTTCCACCATTTAGAGCAGACATGAGTGCAGGAAGGAGGAAAGGAAGGGAGGAAAAAAAGAGAAGGAGAAAAACTTACAAGACGCGTACCCTGACCTTGTGCCTCTCCCCCCATCTGGGCTGCCACACGCCGCCGTGCGTCAAGAACGCCACAAACCCCAGCACCTCGTTCGAGTACACGATCGCCGTGCCGAAGGACTGCAGGGCCAAGCCCCCGAAGCAGACGCGGAGGAGGACCGCATGCGCGAAGTGGTACCGGAAGGTATCCATGACGGCCAGAAAGATGAGGGCGGTGCTGGCCATGCCGGCGGAAAAGATGGCGAGGAGGGAGATGAGTTTGAAGGTGGCGATGGTTGCGGGTGACTCGTCGTCTCTGACATCGTCGTCGTCAGTCTCATCTGGATTATCATTGTTGTTGTCATGAATAGGGCCGTTGTACGGAGTCACTGATGCCGGTAGTCGATCCCCATCCGGAGATGGTGCGTGCTGCGGACTACCTCTAGAGGAGAAGGGGTCCGGGCAGCGGATCAATGCGAAGCCAGGCTCGTAGCGCATGACATGGACAGCAGCTACGGTGAACCAGAACCCGACGGCAGTCATGGAGGCCCCGATCAGGAAAAGGGGCTTGAGTTCGAAGGAGGCGATGTCGGAGATGAAGCTGTTGGTTTCGCTTGATTAGTCTTATGACATGTTATTTCGATGTACGAAGAAGAGGCAGCACGCACGCGACGTGTGGATTGCTTTGGCCTGGGTACTGGGGCATGCCTCGAGCCAGCCATGTTAGCAGTAGGCTGGCAAGGGTCAAGAACCAGACTGAGCCTGCTAAGGAGGGGAAGATGGGCAGGCGAGAGGGTGGGATGTTGAGGATGGTGACATGCAGGAAGGACCAGATGGTGTCGTGACAGCGGAGAAGGAAAGACGTGATCATGAAGACTGAATGCGGGGGGGAAACTTCCAATTCTATGAGATTGTATTCTAAGAGAGTATTCTATGGCAATAGAAGAGAGGGGGGAGGAGGGGAGAAGAAACCCCGGAAATCTGATAAAAACAGGGCGATGTATGAGATGGCGGTCAGCTGATGGTTACTACGGAGTACTTAACCATCGCATCAAGGCTGCGAACAGGGGTTGTACTGTTCCCTTGATTAACCGCCATTCCTGTCAAGTTCCAAGTGGGGTACTCATAGTGAAAAGCAAAAGCATTGAACGCCAGGACAATGCACATGAAGGTAAGATAGAATAAACACCATAGATTTTCGGATCTGTCAGTTGACGTCACTGGCGGGGGAGATATCTCCCGATTGTTGATTGTACTATGCGAAGTACGAAGTAGTCACTCATGGGCTAAAACAGCTACAGTATTGTACACTCGAATGACACTCACGACTATATGTCTGTATTTAACTGCTCCCTCCCAGACGCAGCATCGGGCATTTATAAGCCCAACTCCCCGAGCAGGGAATCTTTGGCATCTGCTGACAAATCGGTTCCAGCGGACGAAACGAACTACCTAGTCTATTTCCCACCAGCAACAAATAAGAACAATCAATGCATGTCAAATGCCCGAGAAAAAGGCCCGAGAGAAAGAGAGCGAGAGAGTCAGAACGGAGTCATCCACAGTTGCCAATTGGCCAGGTTGACCATTGTTACCGTTAGCGTGGTATAGATCTGCTGATACTGGAGTGTGTACTGTATCGGACTTAATCCATCTGGAGACTTTTTTTTAACTCATACTCATCCTCACCACGACGGAGGGACATCCAGCCACAAACTCCCCGGATTGCCACTCCTATATAGTAGCTTGCACTTTTCAATCCCATCGCAGAGGTGCTATCAGCAGCTCACTTAAATAATCCACCAAAAGAAACATAATAAACCATGACCAACTTCAACATCCAGATCATCTCTGACACGGTGTGTCCGGTAAGTCTACGGCCCTGTCGTTATATACCTCCAAAACATCCCCAATTACCAAACAACCCCAGCTAATAAAGAATCACAGTGGTGCTACGTCGGCTACCGCCGCCTCAGCCGGGCCATTGCCCAGCACAAAACCTCCCACCCAAGCGACACCTTCACCCTCAGCTGGCACGCCTTCTACCTGCACCCGGAGGGGCCGGGCTACCCGGGCCTCGACAAGCGGGAGTCCTTCCGCAAGAAGTTCGGCCAGCAGCGGGCCAGTGCCATCATCGAGCGGCTGACCGCGGTCGGCAAGACCGAGGACATCGACTTCAGTTTCGGCGGCCGCACCGGCAACACCCGCGACTCGCATCGCCTGCTGTGGTGGGCCGGCCAGAAGGAGAAGGCCGAAGCTAGCAGCAGCACCGCCGTCGCCGACAAAGGCTTGGTCGGCGGATTGCAGACCCGCGTCGTTGAGAAGCTGTTCCGCGCCTACTTCGAGGATGAGAAGAACATCACCGATCCCGCCGTATTGACCGAGGCCGCCGTCGGAGCGGGCTTGGACAAGACCGCCGTCGAGAAGTTCCTCGCCTCCGAGGACGGCGGCAAGGAGGTCGACGTCGAGGCCTATGTTGCCCAGCGCCAGTTGGTCACCGGGGTCCCCTACTTCATGATCAATGGCGAGTATGCGGTGCCCGGGGCGGATGAGCCCGAGACTTTCTTGGAGGTATTCGACAAGGTGAAGAGTGGTTGATTTATGGAGACTAGAAATGGCTGTATGCTGGAGTTATGCTTATTGGTATGGGTAATATTACATAGATTCTTCATTTGAGCAAGTCTGGAGTCATGCTGAAAATAACCGACTCAGGGCTATCCCATTTATGAGTCAGAAATGAAGCAAAGTAGTCTCACAATTAGCTGTCCTGTTAGCGATGCCATCCTCTTAGGCACCGCCTGTGGCGACTGATCGTAGAAACAAATAGAGGTCCGCTCAAACGCCACATTCATGCAAGCAAAGAACTACTACAGGAATGAGAGAAGAAGTCGAAAAGGTTCCATCCCAGAGCAAAGCGATAGCAAAGAAGCCCCCCGCAAACGAATCGGAGCATTATACATGGTTGGAGAAGTGGGGAGTAAGATGCGTCAGCCTAGGGACTGTGATAAGATGAACACCGCAACACCAGGGCACAGAAAAAGAGACGGGAACCGAGCCCGGAAGATATTATCATGACAGTCATTCAAGCCGGTCAACGGTGTAGCCGGCGTTGGTGGGTCATGGCGGGCATCCGGAATCTGACGAACAGAGGGGAGAAATTGGAAAAAAAGAGGGCATATGGAAATGCATGTCACATCTAGTAGACGCTAGATTGCTGTAATTTGAAGTCGGGGATGTAATCGAACCAGTCCGTGATCGCGTTGTAACGGTAAGCCTTGAACTCCACCCCATAGGGCTTGGGTTCCAACATGTAGAGCATGCCGAGGGGTACATCCAGAGAGGCGACTTCATCACGTTTCAAGCCACGGAAGTAGGCCAAAAGAACGCGCGCCACAGATCGGTGGGTGACAAGCAGAATGTGATCCGTCGTCCGCTCCATCTCGATGATCACAGCGCGAAGACGATTGATCACGTCCAGATAGCCTTCACCGCCAGGCCCGGGGTAGCGGTAAAAGAGTTTGTTCTTGCGACGAGCTTGGTATTCCTCAGGGAACTTCTCACGAATCTCGTCGTAAGTCATACCCTCCATCTCGCCAGCGTAAAGCTCGTCAAGCATTTTCATCTGCTTCACGTCATAGTCATCTTCATTGAAGTAATCGACTGTTTGAATCGAGCGCTGCATCATTGAGGACCAGACGCAGTAATTACGGGCGCGGTCACAGGGGATGTAGGAGGGGTTTGGAGGAGTGCTGTCGCCAGCGCGCGGTGGTAGATGTCGGAGCATCTCCTTCTGTCTCTGGATAAGCTCCCATTGACGCCGCTGGTGGTCGATGAAGCGAGTCAATGCCTTGGCATATCGATGGCCGTTCTCGCTAAGCTCCGAGTCACCGCCAATACGACCCAGCTGGTTATCCTTACTCTCACCGTGTCTCGTGATCCAGATCTGGCGAGGTGAAAGGTTGAAGTTGAGCAGATAGTACACAACCTGCGAGGAAAGGAAGCCATGCGTCTGATGTGCCACAATTTTGCGTCCGACGTCAATCATCTGAATGAAGGCCATATTGTTCTTCTCTTCGTACTCGCCCAGAGGAACATACGACTTCTCATACAGAGCCACGCGCTGCTTGAAATCGGCCAGCGCCTTGACAGGGTCTTGGTCCTTGTAATCCGGACCGGAAAGTTTCAGGCGCATGTTGGCTTCGAGAAGCTCTTGATCCACACAGCTGCTTTCGAGGAAGAGGATATTCAATTCCGTACCGGCACGCTTGCGAATATGATCGACGATTGTCTTCCGACGCTCCATGGTGCTGTTCGTGGCATCGAGAATGCCCACACTACCTCCCTGTTCAAGAATGTACTCCAGCAGCTCGTCCAGGGTGTCCAAAGCCACCTGTTCTCTCAGTTTCACGGCGAGTTGGTTCTGAGGGTCAAAGAAGTTGGCGGACTGATCGATGGGCTCGGGGGATGCTTCGCGTATGGCATCCTGGTCCTCAAGACCTGCATTGAATGGGGGTACAATCGTGCTTTGTGAAGGGTCCTCCTCCTTGCCGTTGACCAGGATTTTGGTGGGACACGCAGGAGGTGGAAGCTGGTTTTCGAGTTCCGGGGGCGAAGACACTACTTCGTTCGATAGGCCGGAAGCAACTTCGGGACGCCGAATGTCCTTATGCGATGGTTGGTTGGAGGTGCCGACGCTGACGCTCAGACGTCGGACCGAATCGACAAGCTCGCTGTGAATGACGCTAGCTCGGTGGCTAGGACGGCGTCCTGCGACAGATGGGGACTTGCCAGCGGCCACACGACGGCGATTGCCGACGTTGAAAATCTCAGTGTCATGCTGCAGCCAATTCAGGTACCGCGCGAGTTTCTTAGTAACGTAACTCTTTCCCCGGGCGGGGAGGCCGACCATGACAATGACGAGCTTGGATCCGACATCTCGCTGAGCGATTCGTCCGTCGGGGGAGACCTTCGACTTGGTGAGACCGGGGATGTCGAGTGTGGTTGCACGCACGCGACCAGGGAGGTTAGGGGTTGAGGAGTTGGCAGGACTAATGGCAGATGGTTAGTTTAAGAGATGTCCTCAGCTTCAGCTACATCAGACCGCGCATTGCGACCGGAGGTCATCAATACAGAATCGAAGAGCATATCAAGTCAAAACCCTCGTCGAAAGACTTGACCGACGATTGCTGCAGGTTGGGGGAAGGGGGGGAGGGAGAGGGGGGTAATCTGAGGAAAGGTGACCCCCCTCTCTAAGTGCCGGTACGAGATAACCCGACTCCAGAGCAAACTGCCGATCACTCCCCAGGCTGCGGCAAAAATCTAGAATGCTCTTCCGGCCAGAGTCGACTCAATCGAGACCTCTAGGGGACATGTGCAGGAAGGCTAACCAACGAGCAGACGAAAAGAAAGGAAATACATACAATTGTGGAGACGAGGGTGCGGTAGAAACCGGAGTGTCTGTTAGGGCGAACCCGACACCATCCTTGGAGGCTTGGGATCCCTTGTGGGCATCGGAGGAATGCAGTTCGTTCCCTAGCGCTCGTCCGACCAGCGATTTCGCCGGAGGCATAAGATTCGCCTCTTTCCCGGCTCCCGACTGTGACGACTGTGACGGGGTTCCAGAATGTTTTTTCCCGTCGCGTTGGTGATCCGGAACTGAGGCGCAGGTCATGATGGCCGAACGCGCAATATCTGTGTGTTGAGACATCCCCGCAGGTGGCGCAGGGACGCAGCCTGAATTAAGAGAGAGGAAACGATGAAAGTAAGATGTCAAAGTCGGGGTGAGGGTGGGATTTTTTTTTTTTCGCGTGAAGGTAAGGGAAACTGCGCAACTCTCTGATAAGGGAATCAAGAGGAAAGAGAGGGAGCAGTGAGGGAAGAACGATACAGTGCAGTCAGTCGTAGCCAAGAGTGTAGGAAAAAAAAGAGTGGGAAGTCGCGCTGCGGTGGTGTGGGCGGATGAGTCAAGTCCACACAACGTCACTCTTTGCAAAGCTCGGTCTTCGTGGTCTCAAACAACAACAATAACAACACAACCCAGCGGAATCATCAGACTTCCAGAGTCTTATACAGCGAGAGAGTCAATTGCGCGATGTCGAAATCTCTCAGATAAAATGGGGCGAAGAGATAGCCAGGCAACATGCAATCAAGGAATTGAACAGCCAATTGGGGGGTGAGATGCAAAGCAAGGCTTCTTCTGATCCGAATGTTCCGAGCCACCAGAAATATAAGATTGATAGGGTATACTCAGTAGGAGTAGGTAGGTGAGAGAACAAAGTGGTTCCAAGCAATGGCAGGTGAAGGTTAACGCACGAGTTTAATTGATTTGATACAAGGGTGAGGACCACCAGGTTGGAAGTTGGAACAGCAAATACATATAAGCTTGGGGGGCTTATAGGCTATAGCTTACTGATGAAGTCACTTGGAGTCGCTTAGTTTCCTAAGGGTGTGTGGATCGGCCGAGGGATCTGCTGCACTGCTGGAACTGCTATGAGTACTCGAGTATCATTAGTTAACTACCCCCTCCAATGATCATGGATGATGTCAATTCTCTATCTCCAGTCTACCCTCTCAGACAAAGCCCGCGACATCCCGACAGCCATATATTTAGTCTGGTCCACCCCACCGGATGCATATGTCCGATCCAGGGCAATCTCACTCCGACTGCCCAGGAGAACTAGAATGCTTGGCCCAGCAAGGGTGGACGAAAGGACTCATCATCATCACAGGTCAAATCCTCAACATCCGAGCACGAGCCCTGCTGTTGAGACGCCCAGCATTAGCCAAGATGCTCACCACACTTGCTTTCTAGCAAATCTGCGTCAGATCCAGCCACTTGATGGCCCCTACATCTGCAGCTTTGCATGAAGGCGGCAAACCTAGGCAGAACCCATTCAGCTCATAGCCAACAGTCAGAACTCAGCAGACCAAATGCATTGGGATCTGACTGTGTCTTCGTGCTGCATGCTATGTTAAATTACTATCAAATAATAAGGTAGCTTACAAACTGCGTTGGTGGTATTCAGGCTCAATACTCGAACGAGGTCATACAAGGCTTGGACGGTCGCACCATCACGTTGTTTGCCAAATATACTAGCTGCAGTTCCCCGAAAGTAGACCACAATCCTAACCCAGCTGGGATGACATCGGAGAATGTGGATGGCCTTTTTTCGACGGCGTCAATCAACAACCAGCAGTAAGGGGGGGATGGACGTGGACCCATGGTATCCTGTCCCCTGCAGGGTATTGGGGTGATACAACCGATGCTCCGGATAGTGGTACCAACTGAACGGTAGAGAGCTCTAGACCATGTCTTATCTACAAGTCCTTGAATAGAAGCTTCCATACCCCACTGAACCACTCCCGGTCCTTTTCCCATGCCTTCACAATCAGATCTCTGCCCAAATGGACGAGGTCCGCAACCTGTTCCGGAGCCCCCCAGCCCTGAATCATAGAACCGAATGCGATGAAATGAACACCGACCTGAATCAGGACCCAGAAGGCGAGTGCCTCATCTGGCACTTGGTATCCCTCAAGAAAGCCTTCAATCATCCACGGCCCAGCATCGATGCCTCTGTAATGCTTCAACATATACAATTCGGCGAGCATCTGGCCCAGATCCCACGCCCGAGGGCCGAAATGACAGAGCTCCCAGTCCACAATGAAGAGCGAGGTCTGTGGGCTCAAGTCTAGTGCCGATTTGGGAACCAAAACACTGCTGTCGCGTCAGTTCTTCGATATTCCCCGAGGGGTCGCAGCAATTATGCACTGTGGGAGAGGAAGATGACCTACTTTCCCGACCAAAAGTCCCCATGGATGATTCCATATCCGAGTCCACCGTTCTTTTCCACCTCAGCGGCCGCCGCTACCCGCACCTTCTCGAATACATCGCGGGCTTCGCCCAGCAGAGCGGGATACCGATCGATTCTTTCCGCGAGACTGCCGTAGTTGACGGAGAGTTTCAAGTCTCGCATCGTGTGATTCATTTCCAGTTCCGCTACCACGTTCGCCTGATCCCTCTCGTCGGTCCATCGATGGAATGCCCACAGCCAGGTGCCCAGCGCCTTTCCAACCGAAACGGCCCATTCCTGGGAGATGGTCGTTGACGCAGCTGAGGAGATGCAGAATGTCTTCAGATCCAGGGAATCGGGGAGATCCTCTAGGACGGCGGTGTTGGTGTCGGGATTGAAGGTGAGGAGTCGAGGAGGCTTGACTGTGATGACTCGGCTTTCAGACGTCCCCTTCAGGGCCACTGTGCTGGGGAGCCCATTGAGGGCCTTCAAGCTGGCCTCCTCAAAGAGCTGAGTGGTCTTTGTCAGCTGTTCATTTCCGAAACTTCTCCAAACAGGGGAAGGGGGAGGGGAGGGGTTACACAGCGCTCAGCAGTCAGTTTGAAGTTCCGATTCGTAGCTGTATAACCCTCTGCGTGCTTGATGATGACGCTTTTTGTGCCATCCTCAAGGGGTCGGGACAGCAGTCCTCGGAAGACGAAATTGACGGTTCCTCCGCTTAGGCGCGTGAGGGACGAACATGCATACCGCGTGTGCTCCAGTTCGCGGATGATATTGAGATCGAAGCTATCTTCTGGCTTTGCGTCCATGTTCAATTTGCGGAAAGGGGGGATTTTTGGCCGATGAGCAGCTACGGTCATATACTTGAGGATATTCGTATTTGTAGACTTGGTATGCACTGGAAGGAGTTGCCCGCTATATTCCTAGTCTGGCGGGGTCCGAAAACGGGATGGCGTAGTCTTGTGGTCCTGACTCTTGTCCTTTGGCTATCGACAGTAGGTAACAAGCAAGCCTTAATTTTGATTGATATATATTGCATCAATTTCGCTCGAAAGAATCGATCTATGCTCAAAGCTTGCCGAGCGGTGTTCTTGTGAAGGTTGGAATGCTACTCTCCCACTCCCTGACTGACTCACTGTACTATACTATACTTCCTGTAAGTGATAATAAGTGGCATGCGCTAGGATTCTAAGCGTCGGGTGGGTTTCAATTTGAGTCAGCCATCGTCGATACGAGTTTGTTCTGAGTCATCCTTCAACCCCGAACTACCTGAAAAGCTCTCTGATGGTTGCATGTCAGCACTATGCTGTGCAAACGGGGCTGATGCCCAGCCCAGGGGTCCTGCAATGAACTCAAATGCGGGGGTATGTGTATATGCTTGTCTTTATTCATGTAATGTCTGTGTTCTAGGCTTGGAAGTGGAGGATGCCAATCTGGTCCAGATAAAGTCTATCTAGAGTTGATCTCTGTTTCAATCTTGAACCACATGTACAGCAAAGTCCCATGATCTATGGCGGGCTAATTAACATCCCTGCCCAGGAACCAGGAACTGGTCAATAAAGCCATGCATGCACTCTCCCACAATATCAAGATACCAAAACATCAAGATAATACCTTCTTACCGAATAACTCTCAGCTTGAACTCACCCCACCAACCACCAAGATGACCCCAAGCGCCCAGGTCAGAATACGCTTATTCAGGTTGGTAAGTCACTGGTTATAGTCCAAGCACGCCCTTTATCCTTGGCGGTCCACTTGTTGTATTGACTTACACTGTTGGAATGGAGCCCACCCCACACCTTACGACGCCTTTCGACGCCTTTCGACGCCTTAGAAGCATGAATACGATGAAATGAGAGATGAGAGATGAAACACACATCCACTGACTGTTATATAGTCACTTGTTTGGGTGATTATAAAGCGAGCATCATTAATCCTCTCTGCTCATTCACAGACTTCCAGCCATCCCCAAATCCTTGTGTGTTGGAATGTGTCCTCATAATGTCCACCACTGGCGTTAATCTATGTATCAAGGCCGTCCAGGAGCTATGGGCCCGGAAGAGCGTGAACATTTCCATAAACCTGGTCGGTGAACGAGGAAACACCATCAAGACCTACACAAACTCGGACCAGATCAATGGAACCGCAGCCATTACAGTCGAGCACGATATGGACTTTGACCATCTCAATATCACATTTGAGGGTAAGCAGTAATGATGGAAGCCACTGCCTTGAGCATCAGCTAAAACCACATAGGTATCTATCGGGTGTACAATGAGCGAACCGGCCCTCCGCATACCGATCGACGAATCGGTGCTTCCAGGACATTCCTCAAATTGCGATATCCTCTTTCCACCAACATCTTTCCCTCGCCGCGGCAGTTTAAGAAGGGCGGAACTTATTCCTTCCCCTTCAGCTTTGTTGTTCCGGACTGCATAGAACCGCCTTTTTGCACATCGAAGCTCGATGAGGCCCATACACAGCTTCCGCTGACCCTTACAGGCGGCAGCCGTGATGGTTTTACTCCGTCTATGTGCGAAGTCATATATGCAATCCAAGTTCGGATAGTGCATGGTCCCAGGAGGCAAGTACTGGCAGCCCAATCAAAGCAAGTGAGGGTGGTCCCTACCAATAATCAGACACATTCGGGTCTAGGTGGGAAAGCGGATGTGGAGGGCCATCAGATAGATCCGCACATACTCGAGGAAGCAATTGGTCGGTTCACCTTGACGGCATCTCGGCCACCGCCTATTCGGCTTCTTACGCCGGAGTACGTGGTTTCGAAGGATATTTGCTCGATTGCGGTGCGTGTCCGATTCGATTCCATTGATCGAATTCCTCCACCACGTCTGAAGACTCTTCGTACCAAGCTTGAGGTGTCAACCACATACACTTGCAATCCTGGACTTCAGGTAGGCTGTGCTTCCACAGCTGGCACTGATCGTTTTGTCAGATCCATACCATTGTCCTCTGTCTGTATGACGTCGGTGCAATGGCAATGGGCTAGGCGGAGTCAGAAAGATAATCTCGCCAATGATGCTTCCCGGCACCCTGGCTGTGCCGGTGATTGTTACGAAGCCTCGGTTGTCGTTCCAATCACCCTTCCTAGAGACAAAGTTCTTGTCCCCTCGTTTGCTTCTTGTCTCATGAGCCGGGATTATATCCTCAAACTGTCAGTCTCTTATTCCACTTCAAGTGTATCGCCGTTACATACAACCGTTCAGATTGACATCCCATTGAAGATAATTTCAATGGAGGATTCGAATGAAACGCCACGCAAGCGGCGCGGTGACGAGCGGAATAATAATGAGGGTCCATCGTTGCCAGTCTGTGCTTAGGGAAGAGTAAAGCTTCTCTTTGCCTCGCTGTGGCCACAGTTTTCGCACTAGGTGCGCCATTTTGTATATAATTGCCGTTAGTCTTGTTGTGCTCTGTCATCATGCATTATCTAATTTTGGTCCGTGATCATCGTCATGAAGGGAAAAACCATCCAAATGATGCAGCATCCCATCCCTCTCAGAATCTGCCACTTGATCAATATGCTGGCGTCGGAAGGCAGCAATCCACTTGGGATTGTCAAAGATGGTCTGATTCCATGAATCCTCGCAGTCGTAAACCAGTCGCCTCGACTCCTGCTGCAGCATTTCGTCCGTAGGAATGATCCCCTTGTCCATCTGCTGGCGCGCAAAGCGACTCAGGTGAAACACAAGGACCTCAATCATATCGTTCCCCGACCCAGCACTGGCTGATTCTCCGAAAGACCCTAGCTGGCTGTCGGCATTCAGTTCATGGTCAGGGGCATTCAACTCGCTCGCCCCCAGTCGTGATTTTATCTGGTTGAGATGGTCGTAGTGGTGGAAGTTTGTGGCTGAGAACGGCACAAGTACACGCGAATCCGAAGCAATGTGATACGGTGGCAGCGAGTTCACCACAAGTTTGGCAATGGCCGGAGGGAAGTCATGGTCCCCTCGCCAGTCGTCCATCGTCGATCCACTGCGGAAGTGATTGCCGAGATGATCGACTCGCTCTTCCCAGGACGACAGCCTCTGGTCACAGAAACCGCAGCGAGACGTGACTGGGGGCCCTTGGACTTTCCAATCATCGATCTGGGGTAGGGTCTCGAGATGATGCGTCCGTCGCAGATGTTGCACCAGATGGTCCTTGCGACGGAAAGTGCGCGTACCACCCATGCAAGGCTCATACTTGTGTCCGTTGAGGTGTTCCGCTGTCGGGTCTGGCATGTTGCAAAACGAGCAATGCCTTCTCCCAGTAGAAGGAGAAACCACTGTGCCGCCTTGGGGTGCACAGACCCATTCTTCCAGGTTCAGATGGAGAGACTTTTCATGTCGAGCCCAGTCATATTTGGTTCGGAACTGATCGCAACAAAAGGTGCAACAAAACAGACGGCCTTTTTCCCCGGGATTCATTTTCGCACTCCTGCCCTTACGCACACGTCCAGTAGCACGCTTTTTGGAAGACCGTATCGGACCTTGGGACTTCCGGGAGGTTGCCGATTTGGCCGAGGTGGAAGAGGGCTGCGAAGAGACACTGTGGGCGCTACTTTGTGAGCTGGGTATTGACGTGGTTCGATGCCGGTATCCCTTGAAAGAATCATGCAATGGACCCAGGCTTGCAGTGCCTATTCCATGGCTGCTTTCTTGATCATAGGTTGGCGGGAATTTTCTCAGAGATTCCATGATCGCTGACAGCGAGGCCGGTTCATCTTCCGGTGGTGAATCTTGCCACCGCTGTAAAGGGTCGGCGGCAAACTGTGGGTTTGAAATGTAGGATGGGGCAACATTCGTTCCTCTGCCTCGTATCGCATATCGGCTTTTTCGTCTGGGGAGCGTGCGTTGTGTGTCCAGGTTGAACATGGGTGGCGTGGTTTGGGCGGGGCCTAAGAGCGAGGTGCTGCCAAAGCCGCTATCCAACGCGGGCAGCGCTGCCTGACTATCATGAGAGTCATGGAGTGAAGTAGCCGGTAGGCTACCGGGATGGTACTGAGAGTCAAAGCCAGCTAGTCGTTCGAGGCTCGATGCCGGCCACAGTTCGCTGTCTATTTCTGGGATGGCGTGGTTTGACAGGGGGGGGTTTGATATATGACAACCCGCGTCCACGCCACCGGTCAGTTGCTGTGCTACGGTGGGTTCAACATGAGTGGAGCTATAGTGTGGCTCAGGGATTGCTCCTTCGAAGTTAGTAGTAGGGCAAGCGTAGGCTAGATTGATGGAGGAGGCCAACGCGATTGAGCTTCCGTCCCCACGTGACGTTGACTCTCTGTGGTGATTGATCTTCTCGTCATCGAATGATGTGAGTTCACATGTGTTATCGTCCATCTCAAGGTTGAGAAATCGATCCCATTCCTCCCATGTGCCGCATGCAACCGACTCGATTGTGGAGAGCCTCCCATTTTGCTGGGTCGCATCATCAATATTCAAGCCGTGTATTGATTGTTGCATAATACATATCCTATATCTGATTCTCGGCTGTTTGGGGGTCCAATGTGTGTGAAGGGTCACTCCGTTGGCCTGGGATTAGTATGATGATGGGTGTGCGTAGGTACTAGGTAGAGTAACTCAGTACTTAGGATCTAAGAGACTATGAGTTGGTAGAGAGGAGGAGTCACCCGATAACCAGAGGTGATTTGAAGAACGACGGACTCTTTCCGCCCCGCTAGCCCCACATAGTCCGAGGTTCCAGGTTTAAATTTCGAAATCCAACTTCCGCTGTGGCTCGGAGCCATGGTTTAGTATTGTAGGCAATAAAATCAGCGCATCTTTCATCAGCAAGGCCTGCTGGCCCAATGGTAAGGCGCTTGACTACGAATCAAGAGATTGCAGGTTCGAGCCCTGCGTAGGTCATTGCTTTTTTTGCTCTTTTGCCATTGTGATTGGCCATTATCGTAATCCTACCCAGGTCGATACCACGGCATCGACCTCATCCTCCTGAAGTCCGCCGGGCATACTGCCATGGGCAATGGGATGCGGCCTGATATCTTCGTTGCATCACACACCGAGCCAGGAGAAAACATCCTGGTCCCGGACTGTTTCACCCGCAGGGTCACCATTTACCTAGTGCATACCGGCGACATATATCCGCGACCCTGAGATAGATCGACCATACACACTCAAATAGGGCAATCGAATGGTAAACGCAGCGTAATCAAGAGGTAAGAATAAAAATAAAAACAAAAAGTACTTATTACTGATACGTGATGAGCCGAGAAGGATACGTCTCTTATTGTCCGACGGAAAGGCCACCGTGACGTTGATTGATAGTCGTAGGAATCCCATGATGAATTGCCCGACATTGTACCCAAAAAAACATGTTCCCAGAGGGCTCATCAGGGAGGCATGGACGATGTACAAGCAAAGCAAAAAGTAATGACCTACGCAGGGCTCGAACCTGCAATCTCTTGATTCGTAGTCAAGCGCCTTACCATTGGGCCAGCAGGCCTTGCTGTTGAAAAATTCCATGCAGCTGTGCATTCAGTTCCAAAGATCATGTCCACAGTATTCACATTAGGGCAACTCTCAGTTCAGCTGGCTACTCGTACTGTACAACAGACACCAACCTCAACCTCAAAGTATCTGCCACTACCATCCAAACCCTTTTGGATACATAACACACAACAATCAAATACCCTACAGACATCCCCTCAAAAGCACAGGCTTTCCAAGTAATCAGTCGATACAGTGCCAGGAGCACATTCTTTTCTTTCATTTCTAACATATAAGTAAGTACCCACAAGCGCAGCTTGCGCTCCAGAATACAGAACCCACAGGTTCCTTGCGTCATTTCTAGCGGCAGTGGAAGTCTCTCCCGGGAACAAGGCCGTAGGTCCGCTGAAGCCACCGTAGCAGCCTCTTCCAATCCCTCCTCCTAAAGGTCGCCGGCCGCCGGCATCCGCCGATTTTCTGCCAACCCCTCCCTACGTTACCCAGGATCTCGGGAGCCACGCGCACGACGAGTTCAAGGTATCGCGAGTCCGGCTGACAAGCGGCAAACTTTGCAGGGGACTCGTGGTGGTGATACCAGGTCGTCCGCAGCCTTCCAATGACCACGGCCTGGAGATCGGAACCATTCTCCATCGCCGCCTTCATGAACCGGAGTCGATGCGGACTGGCGCTGATATACTGGAAGGCGTTGAAGTGTTCGAATGTCGCCCCTTTGTATAGGAGCGAGCGAACGACAGAGTCTAGCAGGCGAAGATCTCTCTCCGAATAGTAGCTCCAGCGGTAGTGGCGGTTGCACAGAATGTCCAATGGAAGTGGACTGCAATCGGGGAATAGTTGCTCATCGCAGGCCACGAGCCCGACATCAATGGCAGGATGGTCGAGCAGCAGCAGCGCTATCTCCAACCGGCCATTGCGGGCGGCCCAGGGCAGTAAGGGCCAGCCCTCCAGCCCGTAGGCATTGGGACTCACGCCGGCGCGCAAATAAAACTCAACAAGAGAGTAGTCCCCTGCCGCAACAGCCTCGAAGAGGGGTTCACGGAAAGGAATAGAGTATAGGTCCGTCTGCCAGTCTTTGTAGAGGGCTCGACCGTTTCGATCGATCCAGAGCAGCTCTCGGTACTCATCCAGGGTCGCCAGTGCAAACTGCCGGGCTTTCCTCCGGAGCAGTGAACGAAGCATCAGATACAGATACTTGCACGTCTGGCTGAGATTGGCCAGTTCTCGATTGGTCATATGCTCAAAGCACTCAAGGATTATCTCTGCTGGCAATTTCGCTAGCTCAAAGGAGTGCCACTGGCGATCATCCTCCAATACAATGGCTGGATACTGTGGATACTCAGGGCCATGGTAGTACATACAGTCCAGGCTTTCCACTGAATTCATATCCTCAGCTGCCCTGACGGTTACACCCCACCAATACTCGTCATTGTTCGGGTCGTCCATTATTCGATAGCGCTGGAGTAGGCAGAGGCCCAATATTTGCAGCTCACAGGGAATTCCCGAAGAGATAGTCCAGGCGACATCATTGCTTTTTGTGACTATATATTCATTGATCTACCTTAAAATTGACCGAGATGTAGATAAACAAGAACCACTGTCAGGTGAATCTCCGTCATTGTCTTTGTTCTGAGAGTTGGTGATTCAGCAATGCCTTTGTTCTGGCGTAGAGATTGCGATAGATTTCTTACACTGTAACTAGCACTTGATCAAAACGAAACTTATTGGCCAGTCTCAGAACCAACAAAGAGATGTGCATTTGACAGCTGCGGAAGAAGGCGATTTACCTCTTACTGAGGACATAGTCTAGACCGCTGATTTAGCGGTCGTACTCAACACCCTCCGAGCCATTGTGTTCATGTGAAACTCTCCTGTTCAGAAGAACTTACCCGAGTGGATAACTATGCATACCGCGTCGAATGAGCAGTTCACCTGCAGAGCTAACTGAATCTTGCAATGTCCTTGTCTGAACCACAGCAATTATAAACAGCTGAAAGATGCCCGCGGATCGCCGTGCTCGAGCTTACAGTGACACCCCCAAGGAGTTCTTCAGATTCCCAACCTGATAAGCACCGCGTATCTTGGTCTGGACATTGGACAGACGCAGTTTTTGTTTGTTATTGACCATAGCATATACACAAGACTGAAATTATGGTCGCAGTTAGTGATTTACAAGACCCAAACTGGCTATCCAGAAGGGCTGCATTGATTGCCTGGCTTAGGCGACCTTTAATAACGCCAAGGTGAACGCAATGAACCCAGACGCAGCCACGATCGGTGCACTGGTGTACCTGGCTGCCGACTCGGATTTCGTAGTCGCCGCGGCCGCCGCCGCCCCAGTTGTGGTGCTGCTCGACTTTCCACTATCCGCCGTTACCGTAGCTGTAGCTGCCATGGCGGTGATAGGGTGTGGGACCGTGCCCAACGTCCAGGTGAAGGTACTTCCACTAATGGGGGTGGAGATGACACCCCCCGTGTTAGACAGCGTTTCGGTCCCGTTTGCAGGTAGGTCTCCAGGTTTGTAGAATTGAGTGGTGTTACCAGCCGACGAGGCACCATAGCCCAGCGCACCCGCACAGTCATAGTTCTCAAGATAGGATCCACAAATGTCCCAGTCATGAGCAATCACGGCGTTGTACCAGGTATCTGCACCCAACAATGCCGGCTGCGTGTTGGGACATACGCCCCATATCCTAGATACTGTCAGCGATCCCGCCTTTTCACCCGGCGACGGGGTAGAGAGAAGAGGACAACTCACGTGGAGATGATAGCACTTTTCCCACAGCAAGTACAAGCTCGCGCGTAGTCGGCGATGCTCTCCGCGCTTGTTAGCTGATCGAGGTTCGTCATATTGTTCGCGCACGTTGTCATATGGTCCGCAATCAACAACTCCCGCTGGTCGACCTTGCCTATGTTGCATGAACAACCAGCGGGGGCGTCGTCGGGAGGCGGCCAAAAAGGGAGCTGAGTGATGTTCACGGAGGGACAAAGGTCGATCAAGTCTTCAATTGTTTTCTGGTACTCGCACGAGTAAACCTATCCATTCACCGACCCCTTTCAGTCAGCCTTGAATGCTTGAGATACATGAGATGTCTGCCACATACCTGGTTCCAACAAGCAGAAGCCGCGCAGTCAATTTCGCGGGATGTTTTCACACATCCACAGACATTGATACAATCAATGCCTAGATCTGGACATTGACTCTGCATGCAGGCTGCATCACCCCCGCACGCTTTATAGCATTCATCCGAGCCACCGGCACAGTTATTAGTTATGCACTGAGCGTAATATTCGGATGCATCATCGTAGCACGATTCAAGCGCCGATGGGGCCACACAATCGGACGAGTCGAAGTATCCGGCCTGCTTCGATACCACCACTTGAGATAACGTCGCTGCAATGGCAAGCCAAGCTCCCGTAGAGAAAGCCATGATGTTTTGTGTGGTAGAAAAACGGTTCAATTACCGTCACCCTGGGAAGGTGACTTAATTTAAATCCTCCCCCAACCCCAATTAGCCATATCGGGGTTTCTGCGGAGAACGATCGGGCAAATATTCAGGGTCTAAGGTCAGGGACCGGCTGAAGTGATGGACAGCCATCTCAATCGACGGTTCCTCTTGGCACAGGCTGTGGCCGGGTCTATTAAGGCAATGAGCGGAGAGATCCCGACAAAAAGGTCCCTGGCCAAGAAAGAAGCCTGACTCGCTAGAGCAACTAGCTGATCGAATACGAGGGCCTGCAGGAGAAACATGGGGCTTGGCGCAGTAAAAATTCGACCGGGACTTGCGGAGGCCGATAGAACTAAGTGGCCAGGCTGCGAATGCGGGGATGAGATTGAGCTGGCAGTATTCCGTTGGCAGATGCCTATTTGTGCGGAGATTACTTGTTTGGTTTGCCTATGAATTGCACAAGTGTGCACTGGGCGACTGAATCACTGGTCGACTGAATTTCCACCTCTGGTTTAGTTCTTGTTGGCCATCGGAACAGTAACGATTGCCTATAGTCATGTTTGCTTAGTTGAGTCATTATAGAATATAGAATAGCATATGATAGCTATACGTGTGAGGTGAGTCACAAGTCGGAGCCAAGATAAGGGGAGCATAGTGTTCGCAGGGTGGTAGTGGTGTGGGATGGAAACATACAGGCAAGAATATTGTTATGCCGTAGCCCGGACCAGATCAATGAAGACATTTCATCTGAGGATTATCCTTCAGTATCTATCATTTGACATCGCGTGCCATCTCTCGCTCCTCTGAACCACAGAGTTTCGTCTCAATCTCGTCTCAAACCCGTGGATCCATTTCATCAGTCCGTGCAATGGCATGGGAGTTAGAGCCGCAGATGACTCCCTGATCGAACAAGGATGGGCAGCCGAGCGCAAAGACTTTCGGAGGCAGCGCTGTTGAAGTCGGTTGAACAGCGCTACAGAACCAACAGCGACCGTAGCCTTGGCAGCTACAAGGCCAAATGGTTCATCTTGGCGTTAGCCAACACCCAATTCGCTCGCACAAGTTTAACACGTCGATGGTGAAGGCCGAGTGATGTGCTGAGCATCCACGAACTGTAGAGCTGCACGAATACGGGGGATTGACTTCGACAGGCATAGAGTGTCATCTCGCTTACTCTGCGCGTGATTCCTTGTAGCTGAATGCGGGGGAGGCCTGATGAACCTCAGTTCCTGTGCATCTGGTCAGCCTCGTGTTGTTGTTGAGGCTTTGAAAGTCTGGGCTGTGGCTGGAGGAGTTGTTGTTAGTTGCTTTTTGATTGCCTGTTGTGTCGGTCTGGTTTAGTGCATGCATGCCTTCTTCTGCCTTCCCCTCTCAATCGCCGCCTTCACAACTCTCTTGACAAACAACAATTAAGCAATCAGCATGGCCCACCATTGTTTCTCTGAGATCATCCAACTTCAATCTCGACGATGTTCCGTATCTATCTTGGGTTCAAACCTTCAACTCAGCCAAACCATGGCAGGGCGGTTTTGCTACTCGTATTTCTGAACACTGTTCGCTCGTTACAGAAGCCATCGCGACGAAGACTGGCTGGATGAGCCTCCTCAAAATGTGGCCACAGGGCTGAGAACAAAGTTTACTTTCGATACAGATGTGTAGCGGCTGAGCTGAACGCCAATGCTGACGAATGGACTCCGTCGCCGAGAGCACGCCCTGTCAGATGAACTAAATCAATATAAATATAAGCACCATCCTCAAGCCATGATGAATTCCTTTCAGGAGCTTTGACGAGGCATCGTGCATCTCGAAAACCATCTCTTCTGGAGACATAGTCATATATATCTCGGCATATAACCACTATCTGTTTATATACAAAATGACACGCCTCGAGCGCAGTCCCTACAAACGACTCATTGTCTGCTGCGATGGTCTGAAGTCACCATATACCTTTGATGCTATGCAATTCTTGTCGCTAATGCACACCTCTAGGAACCTGGCAAGACTCCACAGCCGACTCTGCGGACCCACCGTCCAACGTGACCCGGTTGAGTCGAACACTCAGTCAGACAGCGATCGTGGAAGAGAATGGTGTCAGGAAAGAAGTCCCGCAGATCGTCTACTATCAAAAGGGGGTTGGCACCGGCCTAGGTGACAAATACATGGGCGGTATGTCAGCCCCGTTGCGACCTTAATCATCTCGCCATAATCAATACCTACCCCTACCCAGTTGTTGGTCTCCCACTGACAAGGGTTGTTTTTCGGTCACCAGGCGTCACCGGACTAGGCGTGAGCGCCAACGTCCGCGCCGCATACGGTTTCCTGACCGACAACTACACCGAGGGCGACGAGATCTTCTTCTTCGGCTTCTCCCGCGGCGCCTACACCGCGCGCGCGATCGCGGGACTCGTTTGCCGCTGGGGACTGCTCACGCACCGCGGCATGGACAACTTCACCAACGTGTACGACGACTTCTACGAGAAGCAGGTCCCTGACTACACGCCCGAGGAACGACGCCGGCTGGGGTTCCGGGAGGAGCTGCCGCCCTTCACCGTCAAGATCATCGGCGTCTGGGACACGGTGGGGTTCCAGAAGGCCTGGCTCGGCAAGGACCTGGGCGAGCGCCTGGAACTCCGGAACACCTACCTGCTCCCGAACGTCAAATATGCCTTCCACGCCCTGGCGCTGGATGAAGAGCGCACCGCCTACTCCCCGATCCTCTGGCATGTGCCGCGCCCGAACCCCGGCCAGGAGCTTCTCCAGGTCTGGTTTTCCGGCGTCCACACCGACGTCGGGGGCGGCGGGAAGGACCCCCACCTGGCGAACATCCCCCTGGCGTGGATGATCGCTCAGTGTATGAAGGACGGCCAGCTCAGCTTCGATATCGACGAGTATCTCTTTGACGTGCCCCCGCGGGTCGCGGAGAGCGACCTCGCTCCGTGGGCGACCAGTCAAGGCAAGTCCGACACGGCGAGTCTGGTCCGCACGCTGGAGGGCGTATTCGGCGGTACCTCGCACCGGACGCCGCTCGGATATAACCCCAAGGGCGAGGAAGGCGACTTCACCGGGGAATACATCCACGAGTCGATCAATGATCGCAAGCTGCGCGGCTGGAGCTGGCCCTGTGCTACCCTGAAAGGGAAGAGGGACAATGGTACTTGGACCCTGGCGGACTCAAAGACAATTTTGGAGATTCGCGCATTGGAGAGAGAAAGGTACATGAAGGGCAGAATCAGGACGGTCCACGTTGAGGAGGTGGATTAGACTGTTCCTCGGACGGTTGAATTGTGGGTGCAGCCCGGACGGCTATTTTGAGGTTTGTCGGGGTCATATATTCCTGGGGTCTAGATTGCGTACCTTTGGAGTTTGGAGTTTGTATCGTCAGCAATGTCCTTTCTTCGTTCAAGGTATACTTATTGGGTAAATTGTGTTGGGTGTGGTGGACTGCATAGATGAATCCACAGAGGAAGTCTTCCTAAACATAGTTCGAGATTGTCCTAAGCGAGGTAGCCGTAGGCCCAGGCGCAATCTGAAGTAAATTTAGCTATGCTGTCTTCGTTAAAAAGTTCGAGACATTCGGGCTTCACTTCTATCTTGTGCTGAAGATAACTGGGAAGCTGAGGGCGTCCCTTACCTAGGGCTAGAATTCGATCTCTACGTGATCAGATTTATAAGACCATCTATGGCCAGACATACCTCATCGTTGAGGAATTGTATATCGCAAAAGTCATAATGATCAAATCGAGAATTCAGCCACGGGACAAGTGCATATTCATTCGTAGCTGCAATGCCTCGTCATGCGTCAAGCTAGGCGGATCGGGCTAGATACCAAGTAATGAAACTACCATCCTCATCATTGCTCATGCTTTTTCATTGCTAAACCAAATAAAGTAGTCATCCATCCTCATGCGTAGAACAATCATGTTGTGATACAACCCATTAGGATCCCCCTTTTTCTTTTAAGCCAATATCCTCATAAGGATTGCATTATTCATTAGAACCAGTAAACTTGGACGATCAACTTTTTACGAGAGAGGCTTTATCCCCGCAGAAGCCTGGCGCGGCGCGACAGTGGTGCAATCTTGCGGATAATCGGATCGTGCGGCGAGGTCTCCGCCACCGACATGTAGAGTGCTTCCAATCGTTGGATAAGGATGTCCATGATCTTAGGAGCGACTTCACGGATGTCAGGGTCCTAATGAGAATGTTAGCGTAGAACTTGATCTATCTTGTCATGGGAAATATACCATTGGGTTCACCGTTTGCAAAACTACCTCCAGCCAGGTCAAGCGCTCCATAGGGTTGGTCTGCAACGAGGACGTCACAGCAACACCCACAGACAGGGCCACGATGGGTGACAAGCTAGTCAGGTAAGACGGATTCATGCGAACAAAAAAGTTGTCAAACAGATCCGCTTGCTGAGTTGATTGCAGCCACTACTGCCGTTAGCATGCTGAATTGACTGAATAAAACTGGGAACTAACCTTGACTGATCCCTCCTCGAAGTGACCCTGGCTCATCAATTGCGCAATCTCCTGCAGCTCAATCTGCTCGGGAGTTCTTGTGTCAACAGAGGCGCTACGAGCGGGGGCAGTCGGCCGCTGTTGCTGCTGCTGCTGCTGCCGCTCGACCACATTCTCCTTGGTGACCAAGGCATGGCTAAGCTTGGCAACCTCATTCTGCAAGCCGGTCTGGGCCGCAGCAAGCGTGGCCACCGTGTCTGATAGTCCACGAAGAAGCGAAGTGAGCTGCTCGATCTTGGCAGCATCGCTCTGGCGTTGAACTTCGAATTGCTTCAACTGGGCCTGCATCTGCTTCTCCATACTGCCAACAACCTTGTCTGCAGTCTGCACGGCAATGTTTTCGAAGGCTGGGGTGATTGTGTTCTGCATGGCCTTCGAAATCTCGCTTTCCACACGGGGAGCGAGCTTCTGGCCCACCGCCTCCGACAGGACTTTCATCAAATCGGGCTGCTGCATGGCACGAGTAACCGCCTCTGGGAGAGCTTGGCGCACCTCACGAGGGACCACTGATCCCAGTTGCTGCGACAAAACGCTGTTAAGCTGCTTACCAACGACTGTGGCAGTGAGATCAGTCAGAGCAGGCACAACCTCTGACTTAATGCTGGTAGAGACAATGCGTGCAAGATTCTTCTCCACGTTATCTGAAAGAGTACTTGAAACAAGACGCAAAACCTGATCCTGTTTGGCAGCCGAGGCCGCATCCCAGTTGCGGCGCTCCTCGTCGAAGCGGGTGTAAAGTCCCTCCAATTCGCGACCAAGGCTTTTTGTGAACTCTGAGGATACGCCGTTCTGCAGCACCTCCAAATGTTTGTTTAGAATAGCAGCCGAGTCGTCGGAAACAGCGCCGGAAGCCACAGGAGCAGCAAGAGGCACTGCCTGAGGAGCGCTCGAGGTGACAGGGGCTTCTTCAACGGCTGGCTCATTGTCTGCGGCGCCTTGCGTGGGAGCAGGAACTTCACTAGACGGGCCGTCATTTGAGAGCACGGGCTCCTTGCCCTTTGCGGTCGGCTCACTTGTGCCTGCGACAGCACTCTTCTTCTTTTTCTTCTTCTCAGCCTTTTCGACCCCATTGATGGTGGACATAGTGTCAGCTGGCTCATCCTTTTTCTTGGCAGGTGCCTTGGTCGGTGACTGCACGCGAGAGGTACTGGGACCAGCTCCAACAGCAGCTTCAGTGTTGAGCTCAGGCATCTTCTTGATGATCTCCTTAGCCGCCGGCTTGGTGGGAGTCGGAGCCGCATCACCATTGACCGATGGCTCGTCTGCCACGTACGTGGGGAAGGTCTGCAGCTCAGCAATATCGATGAACCCTTCCTCCAAAGCATTAACAGGACGAACAATCTTATTGTCAGTAGTCCATCCCAAATCTTCCTTCTTGATGTTCAAGCATGTGACTCCGCGCGAGTGCATGACATACAGCTCAAACAAACCACTCTCATCTCCAGCCGACTTGGTGATAGGGAGCAGATCCAAGCTTCGCAGCTGACCCTTGGAAGCAAAGGAGATTTCACGGATGCCGCTCATGCAAGCGGTAGACTCAGGCTTGGGAAGGCTGCTGTCCTTCTCCCCAGAGCGCTTGATGAAGGAAGCCTGCGACATCGCTTGCAGGTTGTACCGAGGCGCAGAGAGGTGAACGAAGTAAATGGAGTTGCGAGTGGGGTGACCGACAACAATGATGCCAGATGCGGGGTGGTAGGCGACACTGCAGATGGCGTCCGACTCGTTCTCGTGAGGAAACTTGAGCTCCTGCACAGCCTTACCCAGCCCAATATCCCAGAGCTGCAGGGTGTGGTTTTGCTTCAAGCCCACCAGAACATAACGAAGCGCCATCGACTTAACGTAAGGACGCAGCTTGTCGATGAAGAGGACGGAGGTTGGCCACGACTTTTCTGCGGGAGAGCCCGTGACGAACGTATTCAAGGGCACCCGAACCTCAGCCGGGTTGGGTCCGGAGCCAAAGAACCCTGGGTTGTTAACCACCTCGCGGATATCCCAGAAACGGAGGCGACCCGTCTTATCAAGGGAGGCAATGACTGTGTCATCATCGCTGAACATAAAATCCTTGCCAGCCTTGCCGGTCGAGATCTTCAGTGCACGTTCTTTGAAGAACTTCTCCGTATTAACGACGCGCTGAGGTCCAGACACACCGTAGCTAGGATTCATAGCAGCCTGAGGAGAGACCACATAGATATTCTTACCACGGCCGATAGCGAAGAACCCAGGATGGCGAGAGCTCCGTTTGGCCCGCGTTTTCAGCTGGCCACCCGAAGTGTTCTCATCCGAAGCCGGGAAAGGAGGGAAGATGAGGCTCTCGCTCTCAAGGGCGTCGAGTTCAAACAGGTCCTTGTCTGCGCGAGAGACCAACGCCCAGTACACGGTTCCACTGACGCCAATTCCCAAAATGGCCTGCTCCTCAGTGGTACGACCAGTAGCAGTCTGCGACGTGCATACAGCAACATTGAAGACGCGGTCGCGGGTAGAACGGAAGATTTGCTTGTCACTTCCATCATCCTGACGAATAATACGCATACCGCCGTTCTTCGCCAGTGCATAGACAATGTAGTCCGAAGTGGCGGAGGTCAAGGAGCGATCCAACTGATCAAAGTCCTTCTTAAGCCGAGCGATATCCATGATACCGTCATCGCGGAGGGTTGCAAGCTTCCCTGAATGAGCTTTGACGATAATAGAGATGAACGGCTTGAGGGGGAAGTTGTGCACTGAAACAATGCGTTCTTCTTCCTTTTCAGCACTGTCTTCAGCGCTCTCCCAGCTGTCCGCCAGTGCATCACCGCTGCTATTATTAGAAGTCTCCTTCACAACAGCGGGAGTGGCGGTGCCCTCAATCGAATTCCGATCTACGCTGCCCTCAAGCTTTGCTTCGGCAGCCGTCTCCTGGAGGTGACTGGCGATGGAAGACAACACAGCCTGAGTGCTGTCCTCCTGAACAGCAGGGAGCTGGGTGACTTTCTCCTCAGTTGATTTGTTAGTGGCGTTGTCGATTTCGCGACCGATCTCATCGACAAGACGCTCGACAACAGAGTTAACGGCTTCTCTCTGCTCTTCAGCCAAAATAGGCGATTTGGGGCCTTCGGTCTGTGGGGTCTCAACAGCCTCTGAAGCTGAAGACGGTTCGACCTTAGTGGCGATGGTGATCTTCTTGCTTTTCATGATCTCAATAGCTGGACTCTCGCTCCGAGGCTTGGCTTGCGCAGTGACCTTGCGAGGAGATGCGGCAGCCAGCTGCTCAAACGGGTTGACATAGGTGAACATCGAGTCCTTGCCCGCAGCAGGTTTGTCAAGCGTGGAAGGTCCAGCCTCATCCGGGGACACCAAGGGCTCCTCCAGTTCTTCAGTGGGAGACTTGAGGCTGTTGCTCAGCTCCGCTTCAGGGACAGGAGACGTTTGGGACGCAACGATCGAGGGAGACTGAGAAACGGCCTTGACAGGCCCGTCGGAGACGTCCTGGCTAGACTTGGGACGGTTCAGAAGACGCAGCAACATCTCCTGCGTGTTCTCAGCGGTCGGACCGGCAGACGCAGAGCTCTCGCCCGTGCCAGCACCAGCTGGACCGGAGATGGAGCCCGAAGGCCTGACCGGAGCGGCGGCCGCAGCACCTTGTCCCTGGCCACCAAAGAGCGACGCAACCAAATCAGAGGCGGAAATATTTCTCGCGTGGGCCTTCGACTGCTCCTCCAGGCCAGCAGCACGAGGCTGTAGGTAAGTGGGCTGTTCAGCGCCAGGAACCGGAGCCTGCTGTTGCTGGGGGGCGGAAGGAGTGGCAGGCTGGTTGAACTTGAGCAGGTTCAGCAGATTCACCGCACGGTCGGGGTTATGAGGCAAGGACTGGTAATGTTGCTGGTGCTGGTGCTGAGGCGGTGGGGGTTGATGGAAATACATATCGCCACGGGGAGTCGGAACATTAGGACTAAGAATATCCGAGCCGTGGTGTGGAG